CGTTGAGCATCTTTTCATGTGCCTGTTGGCCATCCAGATGTCAGACTATCTTTAAAGAGACTTTTCACTGTGGTCTCCTTGGAAAAACTTGTAATTTCAATTAGCAATAATGGAGTTTGAGTGTCACTTAAAACCAAAACAAAACAAAACAAAACAAAACAAACAAGAAAACATCTGCCAAATAAGACTACATAAAAATTAAATACTTCTGACTGGGGAATAAATAATTATAAGTAAAGTCAAAGATCAAATGACAAACTGGAAAAAATATTTCCAACACTCATGACAAAAGGCTGCCAAGTGTGCTTTAAAGAAAGACTAAAAACCCAACAGAAAAATGACAAAAGACATTCCCAAGGAGTTCATGGAAAAATAAATATAATACAAATGTTCACTAAACAAATATGCAGCTCAGTTCCACTCAAAGAAATATATCCTAAACCAAAAATCTTTAAAAGTTTCATGGTGCTCAGGACCCAGTATTGGTAACACACTTTGGGGAAACAGGCATCATTATACATTGCTAATGGAAGGATTAGTATGTCTGAGGAAAAATTCACAATATTTGTCACAATTAAAAATAAATACACCCTTTGATCCAGCAATTTTCTTACTCAGGTACAAAGACAGTGACACTAAGACTGAAGGAAGCATTGCTTATAGCAGCCAAAACAAAGAAAAAAGAAAAACAACATAAATAAGTCCATCAATAAGAAAGGAGTTAAGTAAACCCTAAGTCTTTTCACAGGCAATAATACAGCCACTTAAAAGAACAAGGAAAATCTGTATGTTCTTCATAGAAGGATGTCTAAGATACAATGTTAAATGAAACAGCAAGTTGCAGAATAATACCCATAAACAAGAGCCCCCCCACTTTGTTTCTGTGAAAACGTTATATATTTATCTGTGTGCGTGCACACGTACACGTACACACACACACACACACACACACACACACACACACACACACACACGATGTATGGAAGGACATCCAGGAAACAATTGAGAGTGGTGACCTTTAGCGGAAGAGATCAAGAGGAAAAGATGCACACTCTTGTCCATGTGCACACACGGGATGAGGGGCGGTGAGGCAGGAGGAGAAAAATTCTACTTTCCATTTTATACCTTTTTGCAATTATAATTTTCTCATGAATATACTTTACCTATATAATAAATAAGCATAATGGGTCACGAAATCAAAAAAATCAAAAAACATTCTTTGTAAGAATGTTACTTTCCTTAAAATGTCCCCTGTTGTTCCTAATGTGCAAATTATGAAGGACAACTTTAAAGACAAATCGTTTAAAGCCTCAGAAGCATTCTTTATTTTTTTTAATGTTTATTTATTTTTGAAGCAGAAAGAGAAAGACAGTGCGAGCAGAGGAGGAGCAGAGAGAATCCGAAGCAGCTCCAGGCTCTGAGCTGCCAGCACAGAGCCCGACACGGAGCTAGAACACAAACGGTGAGATCATCACCTGAGCCGAAGTCGGACGCTTAACCCACTGAGTCACCCAGGCGCCCCAGAAGCACTCTTAATAGTGCTCAAAATGCCCCACTCCCAATGCTGACCTCTCACTGTGCCTCATAGAGGATACTGGGGAGCTCAGTCAACTTGCTCAGGTCTCTGAATTCACTTTGTATCCTTAGTTCTTTTGTCCTACTCATTCTCAAATGGCTTATACTCTGGGACTACAGTTACATCCTGGCCATTCCAACCTCAAAACTTCTCTTTTCTCACTCACCTTCTCTGGGAGTGACTAGTGTTTTGTTCCCTTCTTACCTTAAGAACTAGTCTGTCACTTATCCTTTCTTACTTTTCATCTTGCCCTCTTCACTGAGTCCATTCCTTCAAGTTTAGAAAACATACTCACGTCTTCATACTCGTACTTTCACAAGAAAGTCTTCCTTTCTTGTGAAAAGTCTTCCTAACCTGTATCCCCCACTTCCCCAAGCCACTGTCCCACTTTTCTTCTTTGAACCAACCTCTTTTTTCTCTAGGGAGAAATCAACAAAAAGCCTCTCCCTGCTTTGTTCGCATCCAAACACGTCACTCAACCACTTGCAATCTAGCTCCCATTCACGCCAAGGTGTCTTCAGTCTCCTAACTCACGAGATAAAAGTCATTCCAATCCTCATTTTTCATGAGATCATCACCAAATTTGACAATGCTCAACCAACACCACTTAGTAGCTGTGTGACGTTAAGCAAGTTATAGAGCCTCTCTGAACCTCACTTTTATCATCTGCAAAATGTACAGAATAGTAACTAGAAGGTGGGATCTTTTCATAATGTATGTGTATGTTTATATATATATATATATATGATCATATATATATCTCATTTATATATATATATATCTCATATATGAGATATATATAGAGAGATACACATATCACTACAATGTACACCTTAAATATCTTACCTGTCAATTATACCTCAATAAAGCTGAAAAAAGAAAAATAGTTTTAATGAGTCCAAGACATAATACACGTGAAGTACTTAACTTAGGACCTGACACACAGTAACTAAGCTAACAATAATTGAGCACTTCCTATATGCCAGGAACTGTGTTCTAAGAGCGCTACATGCTCTCTCTATATTAAAGACTTTAATCCTTCACAAAGCAGGTGATTTTATTATTTCCATCTTATAAATGAAAAACTGAGGTTTAGAAAGAGTAATCAACTTTTTTTTAATGTTTATTTTTGAGACATAGAGAGCATGGGGCGGGGGTGGGGGGCGCAAAGAAAGAGGGAGACACAGAATCTGAAACAGGCTCCAGGCTCTGAAAGGTCAGCACAGAACCCAGAACCCAATGCGAGGCTCGAACCCACAAACCGTGAGATCATGACCTGAACCGAAGTTGGACATTCAACCAACTGAGCCACCCAGGTGCCCCAGAGTGAGCAACTTTCTTAACCCAAGTTACAGAAATACTAAGTGGGGGAGACTATGCTCTCATCCACTATGGTCTATTGTAATCATCAATAATAAAGCACACAACAGGGGCGCCTGGGTGGCTCAGTCGGTTAAGTGTCCGACTTCAGCTCAGGTCATGATTTCAGTTGGTGGGTTGGAGCCCCGCGTCTGGTTCTGTGCTGACAGCTTGGAGCCTGGAGCCTGCTTCGGATTCTGTGTCTCCCTCTCTGCCCCTCCCCTGCTCACGCTGTCTCCTTCAAAAATAAATAAACATTAAAAAAAAATTTGTTAAATACGCTGGTATCTATAGTCTTTCCGTCCCTAGCCCTTTCTCCTAAACTCCAGGTTCTGATTATCCAAAACTCTACCGGCCATCTTCAATTACACAGTTCAGAGTCCCATCAAACTCAACATGCCCCAAAATTCAGCCAACTGCTCCCTGTAACCCTGCCCAAATATTCTATCTTCCTTAACCTCTAATTTGGTGAACTGCACCATCATCTACTTAGTCATCTCTGAAAGAATGTTCCCGGTCTCTCCTCTGCTGCCTAGGTCAAGCCTTCAAATTTACCCCAATTTAGAGACTTGTTGTAATTCAGGGGTTTACTCTCCCAACACAAGAAAGGAGAGTGGATACATCTTTGCCAAATGAACAAAACCAAAAAACTAGGAATTAAATTTAAGGAGAGGGGAGGGGAAATAAAGAGTTTTCTTTTCCCTTTTCTTATCCTTGTGCAACCTGATTGGAAGCCTGCTCCATTCTCAGGAAGAAAAAAAAAATGAGTTATCTGTGTATTCTCTGAGAAACTCTGAAGTTTGGCTGAGCACGGTCGGCCAGTGTCGTCCTTTGGCCCATATACATTGGCTGAGCCCGGACTGCAGCAAACAGTTCCCTCATTGGCTGGCGTTGTCCAATCTCTTAGCTTGCCCTCCTTAAACACTACCTTTAAGGTACAACGGCAGGGTCTAGCTAAACAGCAGAGTTAACCCCCTTCTTTAAAAAAGATGTCAAGGGAATGCATCCCTGAAAGATAAAAACCAAGGCCCTGAGCGAGGCGAAACAGGCCCTGCCAGGCC